CTATGATAAAAATCTCGAAATTATTTATTTATGAGCTGAACATTACATTTTATAAAGAGTAAAGAAAGATTAGGTTATGTCCACATTTTTTTCCTATCTATCTCAACAGGGAATAATGCGAAATAATTACATTATTTCGACATGCATTCTACTACAGCTGCTGTAATTTATACGTGCCTTATAAGGGAATATACATTTATTATGACGGTAAAATCTGTTTAAATTAAATCAAGGTATAAAAATGCCTTCATATTAGAATATCTTATGAATGGATACAATTGCATCTAGTTTTTAATTTTCGCTCTTGCAATCCTGATATAAATTTATTTTTAAACTATAAGTGCTAAGTGAATTGAGGCAGTTTTTTTATTTGCAATATATACTTTCTGAGAAGAATGTAAGCCGCCTGTAATGAAAAAAACTTGTATAAACAATTAAAAACTGTATATTTAATAAACAATTAAACAAAATATATCCAAATTGTTTCTAAAAAATGTTTATTTTAACAAATGGATGGAAGAAAGTCTATGTCTTTGAAGTGAGAAACTAATGCAAAATGCCTTCATTTAATTTACGTTAAATCTGTAACTATCTTGAAAATTATTGTAAAAGTAAAATAAAAGGTTAATATATTTTGAATAAGGATTTAAAAAATCTGTTTTTAACGTTTTTATTTCGTGACCTTTAATTCTGTAAACCGTTCAAAACTTCATTTACGCTAGCAACGAGAAGTACCAAGATTTTTACAACAATGGAACAAGATCAAGATATCTATGAAGGTTTTAATGAATATGACTATGGACTTAATCTGGATAGCGTTTTAAGCGATCAAGCATTTCAACATGCGGTTAAAAATACTAGTCACGGAAGAAGAAAATCTGTAATTAGTTTAGTTTCGTCAATTTAGTAAAGCAAGCTTATTAGTTTTTGCTCTATTAAAGTTATATTTAACTATATTTTAAAATAAATCTTTACTATTTACCAAACAGCAACTTTTCACAGGGGCTGCACTTGCTACTAATATTCCTGCAAGTCGAATTGGATTTGGAGGCATTCGACAACGTACCGGGGTAACCGCTAATACTTCTGATACTGCATTGGGAGTCGTAAGGCCAGTTACATCTGTCAGAGCAGCAGGTTTTACCTCAACGGCTATAGGAAATAGAAAAATGGCCTCATTCACAGGGATGGGAAAATATAATATTGGTCAAAATTGGTCTTCAGAGCAAGGTCAATTTCTTATTGGACCTCAACTTGATTCCACTTTGGGGCCACCATTGGAAGGGAAAGGCGACGAGACAGCAGAAGAGAAGATAAAAAATATGGAAAAACGCGTGAGTTATCTGTTAGACAATCATAATTCGCCTTACGACAATTCCTATTAGTAGCATAAAGGCAGCATAAACATACATTATATGCACTTAAAAGGATGTTGTTCTTCATTATATATTTTTACGAAACCTATATTAACCATATTTTATACTATTAGTATGTGATCCATCTTACTCTTCAAGGTGAATCATAATGGTTTTAATAATGAATCAATAGTAAACCAAATCTTTTTCTAAATATTTATATATCA